CACATGGCCAACATCATCGGGAGTTGGCTGTCTCTTCCTGGTTCTTGCAGCCTGCCCGCCAATGACGCAGCACCCCTTCCCGGTCTGTGCCAGAGCCCGCAGTGCGATTGCCTGTACTGCAATACCCTGTGTTCCAGTGCAGTGCGATAAAATAGTGCATGCACTGCGGGCGGGAGGCGTGTTTGCGGTGCCATTGAAATGAATGGCATGTCACACCCCCTCGTTCATGCCAGGAGACTCAGAGATGAACGCACTGGATGGTGTGAATGGGCTCCCAGTTTGGCTTCCCTGAACTTCCTGTCCAGTATAAGAAGGCTATACATAGAATTTGGGGATAAATATGGAGCAAAAGTGATACCACACCCAAAAAGGAAATGTACACTGAGTGGCCAGATTATTATGACCACCTGACGTTTGAGAGGGGAAGATTGAAAATGTGGGTAAGAGAGTCTAGGATAGAGGGGAGGGGGACCGAAGTAGTTTTGAGGGAACAGGGTCCAGGGGGCAAGTGGTGAGGTGGGTGTCAGAGAGAAGCTTAGTAACCTCCTCTCTGGTGCCAGGGTCAAAAGAGGAAAGTAACAAGTTTGCGGCCGGGAGCCGCTATCTAATAGCGGGAGACTCCCGGAGCTTCCGGGAGAGTTGAGATGTCTGCAATCTGATCTCGAATGGTATCTTTTTTGTTTTTGAAATGAATGGCGATATCCTGGGCAGTGAGTGAGTTAGGGGGTGGTGGTGGTGGAGGACATAGTAGAGACTTGAAGGTAGAAAAAAGTTGACGAGGTCTGGATGAGAGTGTGTTAAATGACAAAATAAGTTTGTTTGGCAGCACGGAGGGAGGAGTTATATTTTATCAGGACAGCTTTGTACAGGGTAAAGTCTTGCAGAAGTGGGGGTTGGCGGCGCGGGGGGCGTATTGTGGAACCTGGCCTTGGGGCGGCAGGGGGAGTAAATCCGGCCCTGGTGACAGTGTGCCTTGTAGGGGGAGTCAGTGTTGGGGACAGGGTGATTGTGAAACTGACCAGGTTGTGGTCTGAGAGTGGGAAAGGGGTGTTGAGAGGTTGCAAGGAGTGCATAGGTGGGAGAAAACAAGATCAAGTGGGTTACCATCAGAGTGAGTAGGAGTCTGTGTCCATTGAATTAGATCAAAAGAAGAGGTTAGGTTAAGAAATTGAGTGGAAGCCGGGGAGTTAATGTTAGTAGCAATGTTAAAGTCACCAAGAATGATAGTGGGTATTAGCCAGGGCTTGAGAAATTTTAGGGTGTCTCACCAGTCAGTCAAAAATGTCACCAGTCAGCATGACCGGATTATAGCCTTGCAATTTATGCTAACATTTTTGGGGGACAGATAGAGCTTTCTTTTGGTGGTATATAATCACCACTGGGGTTTTTATTTTTTACTATATAATGATAAACGTATCGTAAATTTGGAAAAAAAAATGTTCTCCCTACTTTATGTTATAAAACATTTATCCTTACCCATATTTTTGGTAAAATATAAAAGGCTGGCTCATGTCGGGTAAATAGACACCAAACATGTCAAACTTTAAAATTGTGTGCGTCCACAAAATCGCAATAAAATACTCACAAGCCGCTGATGACCGCTAATTTTAAAAATACCGGGCCTGTTCATTCAAGAATTTATGAATGGGGTATAAGGAGCACAAATGATAAAGCAGAGGAGGCAGTGGAGAAACAGTAGGTTAGGTAAAGGGGGCACGTGAGAAGGAGAAGGGGGAGCAATGGAGGAGCAGCAAGTGAGGTACAGGGCCACAGGGAGACAAGAAGGGGCAGTGGAGAAACAGTGTGTGGCATATAGAAGGCACAGGATATGAAGGAGTGGAAGAACAATGAATGAGGTATAGGGGGTAGTGATGGGCTCGGGCGTGTTCACAGCTCCACGTGCCGAGCCCGCCAAGAAGCTGACAGCACCGCTGCGCTAATCACAGGTAGTGAGACATTTTCCTGGTGCGCAGCTGCAGAGATCGGGATATGTCTCAGTACCTGTGATTGGCGCTGCCAGCTTCCTGGCGGGCTTGGCACGTGGGGCTGCGAACACGCCCGAGCCCATCACTAATAGGGGGCCATAGTAAAGGATCAAAGCGACAGCATTTTACCGTGTTTTTTGGAAGCACATTTTTATTAACCTTCCAGCACCAAAACGCGATTAAAACCGCTCGCTGATCAGCACGTTTCTACTGAAGTCTATAGAGAAAACGAGCTGATCAGTGCAACAAAAGTAGCTCAGGGAGCATTTCAGGCGACAGGCGTACTTAAACGCGCGATTCGTGTGAACGGCCCCCATAGGAATGTATTGGATTTTAAATGTTGACATTTTAGCGCAGAAAAATCCATGCAAGGAAACCGCCCTGGTGTGATCAGGGCCTAGCAGATCAGTACCCTTGTCTCTTCTAACAGACCAATGCCATCCTCTCTTCCCTCCAACAGACCGGTGCCAGCCTCTCTTCCATCCGACAGACCGGTGCCAGCCTCTCTTCCTTCCAACAGATCGGTGCTATTGACTAATCCCTCCAACAGACCGCTGCCAGCCTCTCTTCCCTCCAACAGATCGGTGCTATTGACTAATCCCTCCAACAGACCGCTGCCAGCCTCTCTTCCCTCCAACAGATCGGTGCTATTGACTAATCCCTCCAACAGACCGCTGCCAGCCTCTCTTCCCTCCAACAGATCGGTGCTATTGACTAATCCCTCCAACAGACCGCTGCCAGCCTCTCTTCCCTCCAACAGATCGGTGCTATTGACTAATCCCTCCAACAGACCGCTGCCAGCCTCTCTTCCCTCCAACAGATCGGTGCTATTGACTAATCCCTCCAACAGACCGCTGCCAGCCTCTCTTCCCTCCAACAGATCGGTGCTATTGACTAATCCCTCCAACAGACCGCTGCCAGCCTCTCTTCCCTCCAACAGATCGGTGCTATTGACTAATCCCTCCAACAGACCGCTGCCAGCCTCTCTTCCCTCCAACAGATCGGTGCTATTGACTAATCCCTCCAACAGACCGCTGCCAGCCTCTCTTCCCTCCAACAGATCGGTGCTATTGACTAATCCCTCCAACAGACCGCTGCCAGCCTCTCTTCCCTCCAACAGATCGGTGCTATTGACTAATCCCTCCAACAGACCGCTGCCAGCCTCTCTTCCCTCCAACAGATCGGTGCTATTGACTAATCCCTCCAACAGACCGCTGCCAGCCTCTCTTCCCTCCAACAGATCGGTGCTATTGACTAATCCCTCCAACAGACCGCTGCCAGCCTCTCTTCCCTCCAACAGATCGGTGCTATTGACTAATCCCTCCAACAGACCGCTGCCAGCCTCTCTTCCCTCCAACAGATCGGTGCTATTGACTAATCCCTCCAACAGACCGCTGCCAGCCTCTCTTCCCTCCAACAGATCGGTGCTATTGACTAATCCCTCCAACAGACCGCTGCCAGCCTCTCTTCCCTCCAACAGATCGGTGCTATTGACTAATCCCTCCAACAGACCGCTGCCAGCCTCTCTTCCCTCCAACAGATCGGTGCTATTGACTAATCCCTCCAACAGACCGCTGCCAGCCTCTCTTCCCTCCAACAGATCGGTGCTATTGACTAATCCCTCCAACAGACCGCTGCCAGCCTCTCTTCCCTCCAACAGATCGGTGCTATTGACTAATCCCTCCAACAGACCGCTGCCAGCCTCTCTTCCCTCCAACAGATCGGTGCTATTGACTAATCCCTCCAACAGACCGCTGCCAGCCTCTCTTCCCTCCAACAGATCGGTGCTATTGACTAATCCCTCCAACAGACCGCTGCCAGCCTCTCTTCCCTCCAACAGATCGGTGCTATTGACTAATCCCTCCAACAGACCGCTGCCAGCCTCTCTTCCCTCCAACAGATCGGTGCTATTGACTAATCCCTCCAACAGACCGCTGCCAGCCTCTCTTCCCTCCAACAGATCGGTGCTATTGACTAATCCCTCCAACAGACCGCTGCCAGCCTCTCTTCCCTCCAACAGATCGGTGCTATTGACTAATCCCTCCAACAGACCGCTGCCAGCCTCTCTTCCCTCCAACAGATCGGTGCTATTGACTAATCCCTCCAACAGACCGCTGCCAGCCTCTCTTCCCTCCAACAGATCGGTGCTATTGACTAATCCCTCCAACAGACCGCTGCCAGCCTCTCTTCCCTCCAACAGATCGGTGCTATTGACTAATCCCTCCAACAGACCGCTGCCAGCCTCTCTTCCCTCCAACAGATCGGTGCTATTGACTAATCCCTCCAACAGACCGCTGCCAGCCTCTCTTCCCTCCAACAGATCGGTGCTATTGACTAATCCCTCCAACAGACCGCTGCCAGCCTCTCTTCCCTCCAACAGATCGGTGCTATTGACTAATCCCTCCAACAGACCGCTGCCAGCCTCTCTTCCCTCCAACAGATCGGTGCTATTGACTAATCCCTCCAACAGACCGCTGCCAGCCTCTCTTCCCTCCAACAGATCGGTGCTATTGACTAATCCCTCCAACAGACCGCTGCCAGCCTCTCTTCCCTCCAACAGATCGGTGCTATTGACTAATCCCTCCAACAGACCGCTGCCAGCCTCTCTTCCCTCCAACAGATCGGTGCTATTGACTAATCCCTCCAACAGACCGCTGCCAGCCTCTCTTCCCTCCAACAGATCGGTGCTATTGACTAATCCCTCCAACAGACCGCTGCCAGCCTCTCTTCCCTCCAACAGATCGGTGCTATTGACTAATCCCTCCAACAGACCGCTGCCAGCCTCTCTTCCCTCCAACAGATCGGTGCTATTGACTAATCCCTCCAACAGACCGCTGCCAGCCTCTCTTCCCTCCAACAGATCGGTGCTATTGACTAATCCCTCCAACAGACCGCTGCCAGCCTCTCTTCCCTCCAACAGATCGGTGCTATTGACTAATCCCTCCAACAGACCGCTGCCAGCCTCTCTTCCCTCCAACAGATCGGTGCTATTGACTAATCCCTCCAACAGACCGCTGCCAGCCTCTCTTCCATCCAACAGAACGGTGCCAGCCTCTCTTCTATCCAACAGACCGGTGCCAGCCTCTCTTCCTTCCAACAGACCGGTGCTATTGACTAATCCCTCCAACAGATCGGTGCCAGCCTCTCTTCCATCCAACAGACCGGTGCCAGCCTCTCTTCCTTCCAACAGACCGGTGCTATTGACTAATCCCTCCAACAGATCGGTGCCAGCCTCTCTTCCTTCCAACAGATCGGTGCTATTGACTAATCCCTCCAACAGATCGGTGCCATCTTCTTTCCTCCAACCGATTGGTGCGGTCGACTCATCCCCCCAACAGATCAGTGCCATTGACCCGTCCCTCCAACAGATCAGATAACCATGTAAGATAACGTGCACGTTTGCTTTTCCGCCCCTTTGTCCTGACCTAACCGAATTTCCCCTCCACAGGTGCATACTTACCTCATTCCAGCGGCCTGAGCATCTGGTGTTTGTTTACATCCTGGTCAGAGACAAATGGATCCATGATGTAAACAAACACCAGAGTCTACAGCCTCCAGGAGGAAAGGACAATGCATCTGTGGAGGGTGTTGGGGGCCCAGTTAGGTCAGACCAAAAAGAAATAGGGGGAGTTCGTCTTAAAGCGCACTTATCCTTTAATGGTTTGTGTAAGCATTATTTTTTTTACATTACAAACCACGCCTAGTTTTAACCACAGCTCAATCCAACTCTTTATCTCCCTATAAATTGTTTTTATGGACTGACAACACTTAGAACTGACCATCCACTTAAGAATTAGTATTCCCAGATGATCAGCAATGCTGGCCTTCCTGAGCACAGCATGACCTAGCACACCCACTTACAATACAGAGGCCCTGTCCTCCCCATGGAGATGTATGCGCACATACATATGCTATTCATTTAGTGGAGTGTGCATGCAGTCAAGCAGAGCATGGGGTCAGAGGTCAGACTGGCAGCCATTAGTGTGAAGTGGGTGACCTTGCCCTCCAAGGCCATGTGACCCCTCCATCTAGTCCCGCCCTCTGCAGCCATCCATTGCCCTACACGTGAGTCTGTCAGCAGTACTGACAGCCAGCGCAGAAATTATGAAATCAGGGAGGATGGAACTATATTGACAGACGGCCCTTCCAATCAGGATGTTCGTTACATTGGCCCACCTCTTCGGGATTCTTTAGCCAATCAAATAACAACATGCAGGGAGGGCGCTAAAGGGCGAAGCCTTTGACCAATGGGCGGGATGGCAGCAGTGAGGAGCGTGGCTGGCCACCAATGAGCGTATGGATTACGCAACTGCGTCCGCCTGGCTATGATGGATACGCCCAATGGCCGCGGGGTGGGTGTGTCCCTAGGCCCCCTCCGAGTTTGTGGGCTTTTCGGTGGCGCCACCACGGCGGTATCGGGTCCTTCTCGCACCCAGGAGCGGCGCTCAGGGGCCCGGATAGGCGGCCAGGAGGAGCCCGGAGACTGTACCATGGAACTGGAAGCCGTGCTGAAAGAGCGGGGTGCCTCCGCCGGGGATCCCGCTCGTGTTCTGGGGGCCTGGGTCAAACGTGGCTGGCCGGCCGGGTCCGACACTGAACTGATGAGCAGCGCTGCCGAGTCCAACGCTGGGAGCAGAGCCTGCGACCTGGAGTACGAGGAGCTGCCCGAGGGATCCACCGTCACCACACACATGCTGGCCGGTGCCGTGGCCGGGATCATGGAGCACTGCCTTATGTACCCTGTGGACTGTGTCAAGGTGAGAGACACGTGGGAAGGGGGCGAATAACCGGGGACCCCCATCATTTCCGGTGCTGGGGGAAGCAATCACCGGAGGCCACTCTCACTTCCGGTGCAGGGGGTCACCTTATATCATATAACCCCTGAGTGCCAATCACAAGGCTCCCTCTCAGCATAGATCACCTCTGGGTGCCAATTGCAGGGGCCCCATCCCTACATAGATCACCTCCTGAGTGCCAATCGCAGGGGCCCCATCCCTACATAGATCACCTCCTGAGTGCCAATCGCAGGGGCCCCATCCCTACATAGATCACCTCCTGAGTGCCAGTCATAGGGGGCACTCACCTATTCCCTCCCCCTCATATGACTTCCATAGAACCTCAGGGGTGGGGGTAGTTCTGAGTGCCAGTCACTGGTTCTCCAGACATATCTACCATGTAGAAGTCACTGAGTGCCAATCACGTGGGCCCATCCAATACATATGACTGCCATATAATACCTTTGGGGTGGGGGTAGCTCAGAGTGGCAATCACAGGGGCCCCACCCTATATGAATATGGCTGCCCTAATACTTATATGCAAATATTTCCACAGTGGGTCCCCCTGATATCTACACCCCTTCCATAGCACTCCCTATAAGTGCCAGTTACCAGGGCCCACCCTATATTTGTGGAGTTGGGGCTTCCCCATTTATCTTATAATACTTCTGGTGCAGCACAACCACCAGGGTTCACCCCAACGTATGGAGCAGGAGCAGCAAATCACTGCCGGTTACCAAGGTCAACTCATTCTCAAGCTGGGGTTTCCCAATTACCTTCTCAGCCCTACAACCTAAATATTGGGGACAGGGGACCTTGCTGAGGGCCAGTCATCCTGGACCTTAACTGCATTTCCAGAGCTGGGTATTCCTACTGATCCACCCAACATATCTCCACAGTGGTACCTTTGGTGAAGGGTGTAACCCTGCACCAGGGGCCCTTGAGAAATTTTCAGAGCATGGGGTCCTGGCATATGACTTTCATGATGTCCCCCCAAAATCAGGACACCCGTTCTGAGAGTCATTTACCAGAATCCGCTTCCAGCATTTTCAGGGTACTAATAATCGGGGGGGGGGTTCTGGTTTCCCTACAGTCCATCACCTTCATAACTCTAAAAATAAAGAAAACTTTAAGTGCACAAAGGTGCTCGTTCACACTGTAAGCGGTGACTGGCATTTTTCAGCAACTGAACAACACCGGTCACTGCTAGGGCAATTGTTTTCTATGTGATCCATGCACCACCTCTCCCCCCAAGTGCAGACATTGTTACTACGTGCCTTCTTTATATCTTATTGGTGTCTATTGATCTGCAGAACTACCTCCATGTGAAATCATTCCAGAAAGCCGAGCTGTCCCCACAGCCATAATCACAGATACTCGGTAGGGATGAGCTCAGGTTTGGACAGAACCCGATTCGAACCTGAGCTCATCTAAACACAAAGGTACATGGGCCTCCCACCCAATAAGCTGTGATTCAAGGCATTGGCCATAAACAAAAGAGGCGGGGTGATGGTGCTGACTTCATTTATCTGCCTGATGGGGTGACACGAAAGGAGCTTTTTTCAGGTTGGCAGGGCTTTGGTTTGGACCGGGTGCGTACTGTAGCCCGCCGAGAGTCCTGCTTCAACGTCTCCCTAATGTCCGTCAAAGGGGTTTTCACTACATGGGGATGGGGGTGTTGATACCCAGCACAGAATGTCACCCGTCCAATACCTTTTTGGGGTTGGGGTGTGACAAAGCTGATTGTCAGTAACACTAGAGACTCATTGTATTCCCACATGTGGGATCTCCCCAATATTCAAAAGGCTCATCACTCCCATATTAGTTCCTGAGCAGTAGTAGTCTCAGCAGGGGGACCTTCCTTTTATCTTTTTTGTTTACCTCTTCCCATATTACCCTTCCATGCTTCTGGGCCTTTATAAACTTTTAAAACCAACATCAGTACTTCCCTTTTAATCTTCACATATCTCAAGTTATAGGTGAAGAGGACTCATTAATATAGAGTTCAGGAGCCAGCAGGTTTTTTTTTTGTTTAGGAGCTGGCTGCATTGACCACAACATGAGAAGACCTGAATGACCCCATCTCCACCACTGGCACACATGGACACCAGCCCACATGCTAAAACAGACTGTTGTAGTGTGCAGCTGATGTGAATGAGCCCTTAAAGAGGTAATATAAGGGAAACGGTATCATGGCAATAGCTGACCACATTTTTCTTTTCTCTCCAGATGGTTATAAACATGGAGGTCCATTGGATTCAGCCTGGTTGGGTTTCTAACAGGGATGCACCAATAAAGGTTTTTTTCGGTATCGAGTACTGATATCTTTTTTCGGTACTCACTGATACCGAAAGTCCTATTAAGGAATCCAGGCGGCGTGTTATGAATTGCCACCTGGGTTCCTGATTAGCCGGGAAGATGTCTCCGTGCTTCTCGTCACTAGGTGATGAGAAAGCATGGAGCCCGCTTTCTGGCCAATCAGGAAGCAGGCCGCCGTGTAATGACTCATGTATTGACTTGCTGCCCGGCTTCCTGATACCGGAAGCCCAAGTATCGGAGCATTTGGACGAGTACTCGCCCAAATATTCGGCATTAGCACCAATACCGATGCTAGTTTCGGTATCAGTGCATCCCTAGTTTCTAAGGCTTTGTACTCATTCTGTTCAACTGATTACCAGATGCCGGAAGTGTGAGATTCACTTCTGTGCATTGTGGTGTGCGGCAAAGTGCGCTGACTGGGTTGGTTGGGGTACCCTTCATAATGAATGGTACAGCACTAGGTTCTAAGTATTAGTTGGCATTGTGGTGCCCTCGGGAACAGTGGTGAAGTACTTAAGACAAACCCAATAGCTGCTTGCTCTTTGCTCCCATTATGTTGAATGCAGACAGTTGGAGACCACGGATTGCAGTAAGTGTTAACAGCAGCCGTCGTAACTTCTTACTGGATCACTTCCTACATCCTGGTTGTCGTGTGTTTGTAGAGTACATTATGTAAAACGCACCGGCTTCGTCCTCTGTGAGCAGGCAGCCAGGGGTGGTATGCGTACATGTGGGTGTAGCACATCTTAAAACGCAGCAAGCTGCCAACTTGAGATTGCAGCAAGAGTCTGCTATAATTATAGCGTTAAGTAATTTGTCTGCGGCTGCATGGAGCTCAGGAGGACTTTCCCTGAGAAACTGGTTTGGGCTTGGCATGTATGCTGGGGAATAGAAAACACGGGTAATCGGATCTCCTGACTAATCTGCACAAATGCACGGCTTCAGAAGCAGTGTTTTAGGGCTTTTAGTAGTTGTTACCGGAAAGCTGAAAGAAGATGCATCCAGCGGGCGGAATTGTTGTCGAGGATCAACTAAAGCTAAGCTTACATTTGGGAAATCTGAAGTGGCTGATTGCTGAGTGTCATAGCCATGCCATGTTCACTTCCCAGCAGGTATCAATGTAGTCACCCGCACATGTGTAAAATGCCTGTAGTCAGACGTTAAACATACGTGGTAACACTAGAGGGCAGCGACATTTCGGAAAATCATTAAAGGTCCCTTCATCGGGCAAATCAGGGCCTCTGAAGGACCTTTTAATGGTTCCGAAATGTTGCTGCCCTCTAAGGCTACCATGTATGTTTAACGTCTGCATACAGGCATTTTACACTTTGGACCTTTGGTGTGCGGGTGACTACTTTGATACTTGGAGTACGGTGGGAGATCGACTGTCACTTCCCACCAGGGGCACCAATCTTCCTGGACTTTGCCTTCTTCTCGTGTTTGGGTGAGTTTCCTCTACATGCTTCAACTTTTGGATTGTGAACGAAACACTAATTCAATGAACTGGCTTCATACAGATTGGCATTGTAGAAGTAACAATAAGGAAAGAATAGGAGGAGGTGGTATCAAAGTGTCCCTGTTGGTGAACTAAAAGTTAAAGCAGCACCACGGATAAAAAAAGAATGCAAAGACCTTTGAGGAATCGTCCCCTGAAGCCCCTGAAGTCTGCTGAGATGCATACACTGCTAGAGGTGTTGATCTCCTGTGTCCCCCTGCAGTACTCACCGGGTTCTCCTGCTGACCTCCTCATCACGTCTGTGTCCTGCAGTAATGTAACTGATCATGCAAGACCAATTAACGCATAGACAGTACCACATCTATACCCTGCTTTGCTGCCGCATACCTCCATTGTAGCTACCACCAAATACCAGTGACAAAGTGAATGGTCTCTGCTCTACATATATTCTGTGCAGTACCTTCATGTATGGACTTGCTGTGTGTAAATATAAAGACCTGTTGAATGGCTTCCTATTTGTAGTACGTGAGATTTTTTTTATACGTTAATTTTAGAGCCTTGTGGTCTAGATCCGTGTTCCCGAAACTGCTCAAGTCCTACCCACAAAGCATGTTTTGCATATATGTACAGGACGTGTTAGAGTCTGCACAGTGTATGTGATTTGGCGACCTGTGTAGATGTTCACAAAGCATGGACTGTTTGGGTAACGCTGATGGAGATGAGTCTGCACAAGCTGACTCCTGTTCTTGTGGAGACCTGTGAGCCCCAGCGGGACACGTGACTTGACTGAGTTATATAAAGATGTGTCAGCAGTGTATTATTTGCATGCCCGCCTGTTCCGGTTTATATTGCAATGTAAGGATGGTCCAAATATTTTCATTCTGGGCTCAGGCAAATACATTGTGCTTTAACATGAGCCACGCAGGTGAAATGTTTTGCAGGGATAGTTTGTGTTGTCTGCAGCTTCCATCTTTCAGGGGGAAACTATAAAGAGGTTGGTTGCCATTCCAAAGCAGGCCATACACTGGCTGTTTTCTTTCATGGGGCTGATGAAGAAAGAAAAACACTCCATTCCATCATACACGTCTAACAGTGTGCACGGGGTAGTCCTTAGACAAGGCTATTGTATTCCGACATCGGCAGGAGGCGTGCCTTAGCAGAGGCTGCAGTAGATGTAGGAATTGAGATGCCACATCAATTACAATTGTCCTGATTGTAACTTTATTTCATTAGGGTCAGGGACATTTAACCCCTTCGTGACTGACGACGTACAGTGTACGTCGCCAGCATCGGGGCTGTTTAAACAGACTCCCGGCGACTTTTGCCACCGGGACTCTGTTTAAACTTGTAGAGCCGACTGTCGGCTTTACAACAGAAGCGATCCTGGCGACTTACCTGTCGCCAGATCGCTTCTGCGTCCCGAAGAAGGGGCCGCCCCCCCGCCGTGCTTCCCAGGCTCCGTTGCCCCTCCTATGGGCCCGGGACCGGCGATCTTTGTGTCCGCGGGGAGCTGGGGAGGAGGTCGACGAACTTCGATCCCCTCCCCGTTGCAGATTGCATCACTTCCGGTCCCTGGGCTGTCAGTTCTGGGCTCCTGCAGCCCAGCTATAAGCTATTGAAGTGCGATCTGCACTTCAATAGCTTATTTCCAGTGTAAAGGTGACACTGAGGGTCTTTTGGACCCCCAGCATCACCTTAAAGAGGACCTGTCACCACCATCTGCTATTACATGGGGGGGCTTGCAAGCCCCCCCATGTGATAGCAGTCAAAGTAAAGTAAAAAAAAAAAAAAAACAGTTTTTAAAATTAAAATGAAATAAAATAAATCTAATAATAATAAAAAAAAATTTAAAAGTACCCCGCCCCCGCGAGCACGCGCGTCGCCACGTAAACACGCGTCGGGTGCGCCTACGCATGAAAACGACGAACGCGCTACACATGTTGGGTATCGCCGCGCACGCCGGAGTGAGAGCAATAATTCTAGGGCCAGTATTTTGGGGTATCTCTAAATTGATGACCTGTGGGGGCTTTTAAAGTGTCTTTTATTGACTTTTTGGGGTACTGCAGTTTTTCGCCGTTTCACGGTCGCACGCAATCTGTAAACTGGGCATGTTGGGTATCGTTTTACTCGTTGTAACCTCATCTTTTATATTTCATTAAAAAAATGGGTAATTTGTTGTGTTTTGGGGCATTTAATTAAATTTGTCACTAAATTTTGGGGTTTAATAAGGAGTTGCGCTAATATTGCGCAACATAAAAATTTTCAACTACCACCATTTTATTCTATAGGGTCTTGGCATTCAGAAAATATATAATGTTGGGGGGTTTTACGTCATTTTCAGGCCTAAAATGTGGAATATAACATGGGTGCAAAAATGGAAAAAAGGGCCTCAGTCATGAAGGGGTTAAAGTAGTATTAAGGTCTGGGTGCCATAGGCTCCTTCTGCCATCAATCAAAGTGTTGGTCAGGTCCATCAGTGCTTAATGAGAGAAATCATGTATGTGGACTACAATCCCTGCAGCTTGAACGTTATATACTGTTGTGATGGAGATACTTCTGGTTTGGTTGCAGTCACTGTTCGGCCGCAGATATTTGGACTGGCTCCTTTAACAAAAGTCGTGGAAGGGCCGGGGCGCGGTTGTAGTGGTCCTGAGGGGGCCACAAACTGCCTAAATGTTGCCCAAGTCAGCAGGATTAGGCTGAAATGCCAGCAGTGTGTGGCCAGCCTAACCCATACTTAGAATATTGGGTCCCGATTATCAAAGTACCAGGCAGGCCAGATCCTCCTTTTGGGATATGGTGGAAGAATAAAAAAGGGATAGTCTTGGGATGGTACAGGAACCAAATGTTTGTTTTTACACAAGAATGAATTATTGGAATCGAATGTCCTTTTCTCTTCCAGACCCGGATGCAAAGTCTGCAGCCTGATCCCGCAGCTCGATATCGCAACGTGATGGAGGCCTTGTTAAAAATCATCCGCACAGAGGGACTCTGGAGGCCGATGCGAGGAATGAATGTTACAGCAACAGGAGCCGGCCCGGCCCATGCCCTCTATTTTGCCTGCTATGAGAAACTGAAAAAGACACTGAGTGATGTGATCCGCCCCGGGGGCAATAGCCATATAGCTAACGGTATTGACGATTCCTGTCCTGCCTAACATTCAACGATTGTAGGAGTTTTTTTGTCCCCCAGCCCCCCTGTGTGTACCACTGGGGACCTTACTAATCAGGATCACACTGCCCACTATGTTCCTGGGCTTGTCGCTTCACCACTCTGTGCCAGGAAATGCCATCCTAGAATAGTGCCAATACACCCCTGAAATTCAATCCACGTCCAGCCAAATTCATAGAAAACAGTCACTCAGTAAGTGAATGAGTGACCAGCGATTGGAGTTCCTTCCCTTCTGCATTTTAAGATTTTTTTTCATCCCCCCCCCCCGGTCCCGAACACCCGTATCTAACATGGCATTTTGCACCGTGAAAGACTTGCAGTGGGCGGTGTAATCGTAAGACTGATGAGAGAAAAGGAAATTGTTTGTAGACTTGTTTTTCCACTGACTGCCGGCGGCAAACCCGCCTTGCCATCAATGACAGCATTGTTAATTCATTGTGTAGCAGTGCAGCGTCCTTGGCTTCAAACATGACTGGTCCTTTTCCGCTGCTGAACAGCGAATCACAGGAGCCGCCTGGTGCCACTAGCGCACGCACACGTCTCAGCATTGTCGCTTTGTTTTTTTCCTCTGGGCTGTGTCGTTGCTAGAGATTCGAGTTGTGTGCCAGCCGCTCGCCATCCTGTTGTGTGTTTGATTGGTCTGTGGGGGGCGCCAAGGTGTACGAAACCAGCCGATTTCTGGGCACCGTGAAGAGAGGGCAGCTATGTCTTAACAGCTCCTGCTGTGCTCTTTGCTTAATCCCAGGATTTCATTCTCTATTTTATGTGATCTGAGGTTTTAGGATTTGAGTAACCAAAGTGCTGATCTGTCAATTCATTTAAATAGCTCCACTCACAACTAACGGTGTGTTATTAGGTGAAGGAAGTCTGCTAAAACTCAGCCAATGATTACCTTTAAAGTAAACCTGCACTGAGACCTGCTGCCATCGATGACATCTCTAGAAGATGCTGTTCGCCAGGTCGTCTTGGAGATGTAACGGCTTCAGTACTTCCTGACCTGACAGAAGCATGTGGATTGGATATGCTGACTTCACTGGCTGCTTGCTTGTTCCAGCCAGGCAGCTAGCATTTTCCAATGGCAGCATAGGTTTCCTTTTAAGGCCGTCAGTCATTTTTGTAAACTTCTGTGCTTTTTAATGAATGCTGAGCTCGATCATACAACAGGTGGAAGGAGCGACTCGGACGCCCTGGGAAGTGACAGAGAATGAATGTTTATATCGGAGTGCTGCCATGTTACTGAGTTACCTTCTCTGTTTTACAAGTGGGGCCCAGAGGATACCTGATCAGACCTGTGCCTTCCTGTATTTGGAAGCCCATGCAAGAAACTGAATGTCAGACAAGACACAGAGAGCGCCTCCATCGCATAAAAACGTTTTAATAAACGAATTTTAAAAAATGAGGTCACGCCTCCTTCAGAGGTTCTGAGGAAGGAGGCGTGACCTTTGAAACGCGTAAACCACTTCACTACCAGGGAAGACGAACAGCCGGTGGATATGCACCTTTCGTTCTGACCCTTTTATGCCTGTTTTTATTCGTCCTTTTGTGAGTACCTTTTATACCATTTTTTAAATTTGTTTATTAAAAAGTTTTTATGCGATGGAGGCGCTCTCTGTGTCTTGTCTTGCAGTGCTGAGGTTGTTCTGAACCTGGTGAGAGCCGCCCCGTTATCGCCATGCACTCCTGAACATCATTGATTTAATACTCTCTTGAACCAAAATCTGCTGGCGCGGTGTTTGATTCTGTCTGAAGAAACTGAATGTGTTCGCACAATGTGGTGCCATCCACTTTGCTGACGCATGTTAGTGCATTGCCATACGCTTGGCAGCAACACAAGTCCATTGGCAAGGTGCATTGGTTTGCCATTCCGAATGAATGGCACTGCGTTGCACCATTTAATGTAACTTGTGTTGCGGTAAAGCACGCTATAACACAGTGCCATAGTGTGAGATAGTCTTCTCTTCTCTTCACTCCCTCCCCTGTCTGAGCTTCAGGTCATAACTAGGAACCTACACGTGGCTGAGGACTCCCATAAGACAGCACTGGTCATCTAAGAAACAATTACCGCTGCTGTCACATGGAAGGAAGGCATGTCACATTCTGCCACTTACCTGGAATTGCTGGCTATTTTTCTTTACTGCTGGAGGCCAGACTGTGCAATGGGGGGAGCTGGTATGGGTTGCTGGTGGGGTGGCCTTAAAAAGGAATCTGTTACTTTGACATCACTTTGGAAAAGCACAGGTTTGCATTAGGATTATATGTCCTGTATCCAGACAGAGCTTGAGAGCAAACACATGGTGCTGGTTGGTGAAAACTAGGGATACACCTATACCGGCTTTTCGGTATCAAGTAGCGATGGGGGTTTTTTTCGGTACTCGCAGATATGGAATACTGGTACTGGAAGTCCCATTTAAGGAAGCCAGGCGGCGGGTAATGACTCTCTGCCTGGGTTTCTGATTAGCCTGCTTCTCGACCAATCAGGAAGCTAGGCGGTGAATCATTACACGCCCCCTGATTGGCCGGGAATCCAGCTCCATGGTGATGAGTCTGCTCGGCATCAGAACGCCAGGCAGCGTGTAGTGACTCGTTGCCTGGCTTCCTGATGCCGGAAGTTCCGGTATCGGGATAGGCAGTGGGAGCATTTGGGTGATTGGATTCCCATCCATTTTCTGCTGGACGTGTGTGCAGAGTGCTGCACAATGCGGGATATGTGAGCAGTCTTCTCATGGTTTACTTACACAGATTGTTTGCAGAGTAGATTAGATGGGAGACACTTCATGAAATTTGTAATCTCACTGAGGGGCAATGCCGGCAAATTCCAATGACCCTCCTTGAACCTTGATGGTATAATGACGTTGGCTTGGTACAATGAACTTCCCAGGGTTCATTCAGTTCTACATTCTGGTGTCTAAAACTCTATATCCCCCCCACAGTCATGCTGGAGTTCTACATTAGATCTTCTTGTTTACGTGCTGGGATTAGTATGGGCTATGCTGTACTTCTCGGGTGTAAGCGCTACAGGTCTGATAGACACCGGTTTGGTCGTGTCTCTGCCTCCCTCTCAACCTGGCAATTCACAAAGTGAAGTTTGGGGCTGTGAGTTTTATGAATGGCCTGGAGAAGAGGTGGTAAAGACATGACCAGTGTTGAAATCTGAGCGATTACATCCGAGCGGGACTGCGTCCCGGGAGCATTACATCCCGGGAGCTGCACTAATCCCAGCATGTAAACCAGCCGATTTGTTTCATGTAGAAGAAAGCCGGAATGACGAAGGATTGACTTTGAGGCAATGGGAAGTAAATTGTGGCCGGGTGTTAATGGAACCTGAATGCAATGAAAAACCATGTGATGTGCAGACGACACTTAAAGTGACGCTAAACTCCGGAGTTAAATCTTAACAATGGATTCAAGTACCTTAACTATTAACAAAAATAGATCTTATTTGTGTATCACTCAGCGGCAGATCCTCAAATCATCTCTGAATTGGTGCTGACACTGTCCTTCCTTCTGGAGGGGGGCTACTTTTGTTTCCCATGGTCCCTGTGTGTGTTGTGAAGTAGTCACCGCTCCAAGCTCCCTCCTGTGATGGACTACAATCTCACATTTTGTTTACTGTACTGAGATTGTAGTCCATCACGGGAGTGCGCTTGGAGCGGTGACTACAACACACTCAGCTGATTTAGTGATGCCGGGCGAAAAAGGTGCCCAGTGTGCAAAATGTGGCCAGTTTATCAAAAACCGGCTGAAATTCGTACAGTGTTGCCAGCTTAGCTGCAGCATTTGCAACAAAGAAACCATTAAACCGGCTTAGCTACATGGTAAGACTAAAGCAGCCAGGGGCCATTCTGTAGCAGAAGAAACTGACTTTTTTGTGTGTGTGGTTGCAAACAAGTTGCGTCACTTGATGACCTCATATTTCCCTCATTGATGGGATCTTCCCACTGCTGTGCCCATTACAAAGCTAAATGCTAGTGTGACACTTCTGATGGAAGAAGTCTCCATATTGTAAAGGAATACACCTGTTAGATTGACTCCATCATGGTTGTTGGAGAGGGCAGACCTACACACTGCTGTAAATCTCTCACACTTGGGGTCTTAGGAGGATGGAAGAATTTCGAGTGATTCAACACCATTACCTACCTATAATTGATAGGATTTTTGGGAGGATTTGACCTTTAAAAGTCCACCCAGTACTATGCTTTTATTTGTGGGTGGAGCTATTTTGTAGCAGGTTTAAGATGCATTTCAGCCGACCGGACTTCCTTTAACCAAAAGTGAACATCTGTGTAGCATTAGAAAGAGGTCCTTGTCTCCCCTCCATTATAATAGAAAGTGACACCAGATCTCACCAGCAGCATGTTTATAGGACACCAGAAAGTGGTTGTCTGTTCAGGATCTCCCTGTATAGTAACGTTTCCTGTAGGTCCTAAGTTCTCTCAAGGCACGCACATTTTTGAGCTACATCTCCACCTGCTGGTGACATCTTGTAGCACAACCTTAAAGGGTCAGTGCACCCAGCAAAATGATTTGTTGGGGGGAGCTAGTGGAACCTAGCTGAGACACCTACTGTTTCTTTTGGTAATTTTGGCAGACAGATCGCCATACTCTGCCTTGTTCTCACCTTAACATTTTAGGTGGCCCCATGCATAATCTAAAATACATTGGGGGGAATTTATCAAGGGAGTTGCTCCACTTTTCTGTAAGTGACACATTTTCCATGTTTATGTGCACCTTATTTATCAATGCAGTCTAAGCCTTGCTAACAAATGTCATTTTCATTAGACATGTTGGGGGGAATTTATCATAGCTATTGCGAGTGTTTGAACTTGCACGGAAAATATATTTGCACCAGATTTATGATGCTAGTGCAATGTTGTTGATAAATGAGGTTTAATAGACTCCAGGAAAGAAGACTCTTAACTCCAGGCAAAAAGCTTAACTGTCACATCTGGAAGAAGTGGTCTTGGGGATTTCTTAAGTTGTGAGTGTTTTCTTAAAGTGACATTAAACCCTCAGATTTTGTAACATAAACCAATACTATAATGTGCGCCTTACTGTAATCCATGGTAGTTTCCCTTCTCTTTGCTGCTCTTCCTTTTTAAATCCTCATGTCTTCTCATGCTTGGGGAGAACTTCCCTTTGCAGCTGAGTGCCTCTTCCTGTAGTGCTGGCTCAGGTTACAAACCTACACACAGACACCATGTATCCATTCCTGAGACAAGGCAGTCTGCTGCAAAACAGAAGTTCTGCCCAGCATGAGAAGAGAGAAGGATTTAAAAGGAAGAGCAGCAAAGAGAAGGGAAACAACCATGGATTACAGTAAGGCACACATTATAGTATTGTTTTATGTTAAAAAATCTGAGGGTTTAATGTCACTTTAAGTTCTGCTCCAGTTTCAGACAGCCCAGAACAAGTGCAGATGAAAACAGGTGCAAAAAACATGCAACTGAAAAAGTAGTGCGAGCTCTGAGGAAAACAGGGACGCATGTTAAAATACAGATTTGCACATAGGAAAAAAATGATCTAAGAGGCTAAAACTGTCGCAAGTGCTTTGATAAATTCCCCCCATTATTTTCCAGAAATCCTTGGGTAACTGAACTCTGTCATTAGCAAAAGCTGAGAATCATGTCCCAGGTACTGACCCTTTTAGGCGTAATTATTTTGTTGTGGTGAGACTTCGGTCTAACTGATACTTCAGATAACATCTGGAGGCTTTGGAGGTAAGGCCCCCCCTCCCCATGTTACCACATAGGTGTATCCCCAATCAAATTCTGGATTTTCTGACGGAAGTATAAAGTTCTCAGCATCCAGTCTCCGATTTGAAGAAAAGACCTTTTTTTACCTGCAGGAGCTCCGATAAACTATCCTAAAGAGGGTTTCAAACCAAAAAAATGGGGTGATCTGTTGACTAAAGAATGCAGGAGCTGCTGGTAATTCAATGGAAATGTAATGAAGGTATTACAATGTGACTCTTGCACAAGAAAGAAGGATGGGTGTTAGCTGTAGTAAGTGGATGCTATAAGCAACACACCCACTGGGGTCATAGAGGCAGTGGATTTGTATACCGATCACTAGTAATATTAGTGCAGAATTTAGAACAGAATCTAAAGCTGGCCATATATTGTTTGAATGTCGGCCAAAGTACAAGCTGTAAATGACACTGCAAGCACCACCCGGCTCCACAAAAGTCGATTGAAAGAAGAGTCCAGGTTGTAAAAAAATTAACCCTTGGAGTGTGACTCCAACCCCCCCCCTTCCCTGCAGTGCAAGGGTTTTGGTATAGGGGCTCAAATAAAGAAGAAATACTCACCCGATCCTTGGTCCTGCTAGACTGCTTCTTCTTCCCCGGGGCTCCGGCTGTCTAGGCCCTGCTGAAGTTATCACGTCTAAGACGGTCCATTCACCTGTATTAGACGTGAGGACGCCGGGTGACATTCCGAAAGCCAGAGTGGTGGTGAACGCTGACTGCCATAGGACTGAGGATCAGGTGAGTATTTCTTCTTTATTAGCACCCCTAGAGAAAAAAAAAACAGATCATTTAACCGTTGCAGTGCGGTGGGAGGCTTTAATTTTTAAGGTTTCATTTTCTACAACCTGGAGTCGTGTGAGCCAGGTGGAAAATTATCGGCCGAACAGTTCGTGTCTTATCTGCAGTCCCTATGCTGGTATTCAGACAGCTGTGGCTGCCTAAATACAATAGCAGCACTGGTGATCCCTCCATCCACACTGTTTATCATTGGGGGAAATAGATTGACTTTCACTCAATCCGAACAAGAGAAGTGAAGATGTTTATGGCTAGCTTAGGCTATCTATTAGACTGGAACAGTGGATGCTTCTAAAGATCCTTAAAGGGTAACTTTACCTAGTGGTGTAAGCGGAGGGGTTTGTGTTGGGCTGGGAGTGTGTAAGCGGAGGGGTTTGTGTTGGGCTGGGAGTGTGTAAGCGGAGGGGTTTGAGTTGGGCTGGGAGTGTGTAAGCGGAGGGGTTTGTGTTGGGCTTGGAGTGTGTAAGCGGAGGGGTTTGTGTTGGGCTTGGAGTGTGTAAGCGGAGGGGTTTGTGTTGGGCTGGGAGTGTGTAAGCGGAGGGGTTTGTGTTGGGCTGGGATCGGAGGGATTGTTGTTTTAATACCTCTTTCCCTGCTCTTTTGGTCCAGTCCTCTGAACCAGCAGACCTGGGAAATTTCCTATAGGTGTCTGTGGAGATGATTTGCTACAGCATATCCAGCCATTCTGACCCATAATAATCAGGGCTGCTATGTGACCTAATAAAAGGTGTTGCAAAAAGGGTCAACAGTAATGGGTACCTAGCTTGGGATTTATCGAGGGAGCCGATGGAGAGCTGCAGCCGGCAGTGCATTTAATGTCAGTGACTCGGATTGGAGCTATAGGCCAAATATAGGGATTTTGTGTGGACATTGCCCTTGCTCACTTGTGACAGTTTTTTTGTCTTCCAGGGGCCGCTGGCTGTGTAGCGACACTGTTACATGATGCAGCTATGAATCCTGCTGAAGGTGAGTTGACTTTGTTGATGTGGAAGGCTGGATGACATTTAGGAGCCATATTAAAGCTCCCATTGAGCACAGTGTATTCTCTTAGCACACCTCTCTCTCAGCAAGAATGCCTGATAGTAAAAATGTGCTCCTCTCACTGGAATTCTTGGCACCCCCTATAGGCTTCTATCCAACCTGGGCCAATACATTCCTTTCATTCTGTCTGCAGAAAATGGAAAAATGGCATTCCGATCAGGCCTGCCTGTCAGTTTTTTCGGGAGGACCTGATCGGGATCTCAATGTGGTCAGTCGGATATACGAAGGCATGCGTCCATTTACATCTGATTACCTGCGAGTCCGTCTAGGTTAAGGAAAAACCCCTCTTCAAAGGTTGTCACCAAAACCAGTGTCCCCATTGGAGGATTCCCCCTCTATTCCTGTTCTTTCCCTCACTTTCAGCCCCTGATGTCAATGATAATCAAGCAAGATATAATGAGAATCTCCCTAGAAGGGACCCTAAAATAAAAACCTGACTGGTGCTAGTACTTCTCTGCTATAGATGCACTTTATTGTTCAGTCTTCCAGCACCATTTATGTTCAGATAATTGGTTTCATGCAATGCTGTTGTAAAGTCAGACTAATGTTTTCCTAACTGGGAATGAAACTCTCAATCCATTGGCAATTTACTGGCAGGCTGAATCACTCAGTGGTCTCTTGAATGTTTTTGGATGGGCGTTCTCCTACTTAGTTGCTGTTTTAGATCTCATCCACCTCACTTCTCCTCCTGCAGCAAAGGTGTTACTACTTTTATATATTTTCCAGTTTTGGATAGAGTTGGGAAGGGTTGCAGCTCTTTCTAATCGGGTCCGCCAGTAAGTTTTTTTCAGGCGGACCTGATCAGAAGCCCAATGTTAGTCTATGGGTAGCTGGATGTAAATAGACGGGTACCCATTTATACCCGGTTACCCCGGCTTCGGCCATGTCCAGAAAAACAAACGGATCAGAGTTCCGCTTTGAAGGACCTAATTGTGCCGGAACTGAGGTAATATGTAAACAGACACAAATCTATGTAGAGCTGATTTCCCCTAGACCAACATTCCCCCTAGACCAATTTTCGTTTTTTCGATGGAGGAAAGAGGCCTTTAACGCTTTGTTTTTATAGCTCACTGTGACCCTGTTTGGGAGGGGGAATCTCTTTCACTTCCTGTTCGTGTTGTATGTATGTCAAAGTCTTCAACTGACATGACAACACAGAGACTGGTTGAGGGTAAAACCAAGTGGAAACGGTGCCATGAAGGGCCGGCAAGGGGCCCTGTAGTCATCTGAAGTTTTCAGGTTAACAGATCTGAGTAGAATGATGAATGGCTGAGCTTTGCTATTCCACAATTTTATAGATTTCCACTGGTCAAGTGGGTTGGGATAGTGGCAGAGCTCTATCACATGTGTACTGTCAAATAGGCACTAGGAAACCTATTTCTTTTTTGAGGCGTAGGGGTAGGCCAGAACACCCATGACCTTTTTGTTGTCTTTGTCCCTGGAGATTTTTCTTTCACTTCCTGTACAAATGACACCTAAACCTGACCCAAGTTATCGCCTTTCCCTTCTCTATCCAAAACTGACAAAAAGGGGGTTGGCTGATGTTACTTAAACCTACATCTCATGGAGTCTTCACTAATGTCCTATCACTTCTTCTCCCCAGTGATCAAGCAGAGGATGCAGATGTACAACTCGCCATACCGGAAAGTGACGGACTGTATGAGAGCCGTGTGGCGGAATGAGGGTGCTGGTGCCTTTTATAGAAGCTACACGACGCAGCTGACCATGAACATCCCCTTCCAGGCTATACACTTTATGACCTACGAGTTCATGCAAGAGCACCTGAATTCCCAGAGACAATACAACCCAACCTCCCATGTGCTGTCTGGTGCCTGCGCAGGGGCAGTGGCCGCCGCGGTCACAACACCACTGGACGTTTGCAAAACCTTACTGAACACACAGGAGTCGCTGGCCTTGAATTCCTCCAACATGAGCGGACATATCACAGGCATGGCCAATGCCTTTAGGACGGTTTATCAAGTAGGCGGCGTCACGGCCTACTTCCGAGGCGTTCAGGCCAGAATCATCTATCAGATGCCCTCTACAGCTATTGCGTGGTCTGTGTACGAGTTCTTCAAATACATCATCACCAAGCGTCAGGAGGAGAGGAGGGCAGGTCACTGAAGCGCCATACCAAAGCACAGCCGTTAGAGATGTTCCAGGCCGGGTTAATGAACTCGTCAGCCTGCAAGATCTGCCTTTCTTTTAATGTTTTATCTAACCTGTTCTTAGCGCGCAGAGAGGCCTCTGTCCTCCATCACTGTCCCTTATACAACGCACAGAACAAAGACAGTATGTGTTGTTCTCTACCAGGTTCTGCCTTATGTTCATTTTGTCGCACCGTAGCACCTTTTTAAAATGGCAAATCCCTGGTACCATCACTGGACCGCAGGCATAAATGTTTGAAGAGAGAACGGTTCTTGTTCCCTACAGCACTTAATAAAACAAGTCCTTTTTTTTTCTCTCTAGCCCTGCTGGAAAGCTGAAATGGTTGTCCTAGCAAAGCTGGGCTGAGGAAGGTATCCATTACACCCAAACATATAATGGCCGCCTTTTACATTTTTGGAAAACCTTTGGTTGGCACACGTTCCCTGGTATCCTAAAACTTGCAGACCCCCATTGCTGACCACCGTCTGAAAATGCAGATAGCTCGTCATGCTGATCCACTGGCTTTGTGTGTGGTCAGTGACTTGAAACATGCACACCAATGAGTAGTTCGATGTCATTGGCTGCCTGGTTTTCTGGGTCAATGACTCAGCGTTGAAGCTAGCCAGCCGGGCAGCATGCATTTTCAGAAGCAGGCCAACAAAGCTAGCCTGCAAATTTCTGTCATAGCAATGGCCCATTTTTACCTTTGCATTTAAACATACATGCATTGCAATTGAAATCAATAAAACTCATCTACAGGCGTCAACATGAGTTTTCAATGTGTCCTCGTGTTTTGGTATCAATGCAAAGTATGTGTGTTGAAACTAAGCTGAGCCCAAAGGACATCCACTGCGATGCAAAATATCTGTCTGAGGCGGGTATTTTGCTTTGTGCTGGGTTCCCCTTTTAACCATGGTTCACGGATTGGGCTGGATTCTACTTTAAAGTGACATTAAAGTAAAAAAAAAAAATGGTCCCCCCCCCCCAATCCTAATGTCAGCACTTACCTTAAATGAGGTTTCTTAATCCGATCTTCCTCTTCTTTCCTGATGTTTTCATCTGTCCCTCCAGCGATGCGGCGGGGCTCCGATCCAGCGCTGACTCCTCTGTCCCTGCAGGCACTTCCAATCCAGCGGTGTCTGCAGGCGGGTGCACGCGTCCGTAGACTTACCTCGCGTCTCTCCTCGTCTCCCGGCCAAATATCCAAACTGCGCATGCGTCCGCCCCAAGATGCTTTGCAGCCGCACAAGCATTTTCGGACGGAAGCGCGCGGCGAAGACGGGGTAAGTTTAAACCGCTGTTTTGTTTTTTTTTGTTTTTTTAAAACTTTTTGCCTATATCTACTGCTTGCTAGTAGTAGATGTATGCAAAAAAAAAACCGGAGGCTTTAGAAACCCTTTAAGCATTCAACACTCGTGTTATGGGCTAGCAGAACTGTTCTTTCTTCAGGAGTTATGCCTGAGGTCAACTTAATTTTGGCCTGAAGATCCTATGTCATGCCTTTTTACCAAATGTTGTTCCACTACAAGGAGTGTCTTCAGAGAAATAGAGTAGAATCGCTGTGGTGTAGGTGGCCTCTAAAGAGAGGACTTTAACGTTAGACCGCGGGATCCCTATGTGTCTGTGCCGATTTTTCCTTACGTGCTTTACTCATCAGACATGTCTGTTACTGCTTTACTCGAGGGGTAACCAAGGGAAAGGTGAAGCTTTGGCTTTTGGCCCCTACTCCATGCACTCAGTTTACCTATCTTGCAGTATCCTTACCAAAGTCTCCTCTGGAGACATACAAGGAAGCTCCAAGGCCGTTGTCAACACGCACACTATAAAGCACTTACACCATTACGGTGGCTGCAGACTTTTTGGTTTTGTTAATCCTAAAACTTTGTAGCAGGGAATCGTTGTGTATTTTCATCGGCTGAGCTGTCCCTGACTTTTTTTTTGTTTTTTGTTTTTTTTTTAAAGACTATTCTGTCTTCTTTACCAATGCCAATGGACAGAAACCCCTAGGAAATCAATTCAGTCCATGCAGTGTAGCCCACTGGTCAGAACAAAGGCGCTCATCTGTAAGATGGCCTCAGGGGTTGGGTGTCTCAATGAAGAGTGGACCCAGGAATTGGGAAGAAGAGCGCAGACAACTAGAATAGCAGAGTAGTCACATGTAGGTTTATCGGTGTTTAGATCATCAGAGTTTTATTGACATGGCTGATTGCTGGACAAGCCGCCTTGATTTGCCTACAGTACAATGACATATTTGTCTCGCAGTTACCCTAATTGCTGTGCACACGTTGTTTTCCCATCATTTGCACAACTGATGATCCTTTGACTGCATGGTAACAACGACTAAACATGGACCGAGTCCTAAATCAATTATAATCTGCAGTGTAAGTTAATAAACTGGTGGATTGAATGTAAGTGCAACCTTTTTGACACCTTCTGCTTTCTGTAGAGGAGTGTTACAAGTTTGTCCAGAATACGACGGCTGTGTACAAAAAGGTGTGATGTTGGGATTCTGGTTGTGCTGCACTCAAGACATTACCCAAAACTGTAAACTCATATCCTGGTCCAGATTAAAACAAAACCTGAGACAGTAAATAATGCTTCCAGTGTCTGAATTCTATATTGCGTTTAGGGCTGCAACAACTAATCGACATAATCGATGATTGAAAAAGTTGTCAACTTTTTCAATCATCGATTAATCGGCTTCTGGTTAGTTGGCCCTGTTCACGGCTCCACACACGCTGCGCGCCACACCTCACCACTTGGCGCTCGCCGCTGCCAGATCCGCCCACACCCACGCTCCACACGCCGCACCTCCTCCCTGCCCTCTCACATCCACGATCGGCACAGGGACGCGGGGGATAAGAAGTAAGGAGGAGCAGGTGTGGGGGGGGATGACAATCGCCGATAGACAGGCCCCATCTCAGAAGCAAGTTGCTGGAAGACTGCTCAGGTAAGCCTGCACTTTCCCACACATAGTGCTCTATAAATGTATTGCTGGGATTTGTATTCCTCTATAGCTGATGGTACATTGTGCTGTATATTATACAGAGGACTACAAATCCCAGCAATACATTATACACTGTATAATGTACTATTGCTGAGATTTGTTGTATCCCTCTATAGCTGGTGGTATTCTGCATTGCGCTGTATAGAGGACTACAAATCCCAGCAATAATACATTATACAGCGCAATGCGGAATACCACTAGCTATAGAGGACTACAAAACCCAGCAATAGTACATTATACAGCGCATTATACAGCAACAAATGCCAGCTATAATGTATTGCTGGCATTTGTTGTATTCCTGTATAGCTGGTGGTACAATGCATAACAGTTGCACAATTTTCAAAGGTGCTTTCACTCAGAATGGATGTGTGAACAAGTCCATAGTCCTGGTCTTGGCTTCCTATGCTAGTTTTTTGGCTGCTGTGTCTACCCATTGGTTTTCGCTACTTCCTAAACGACAGATCTTAAAATATGGATCATCTACGCCTATCAGAAGTCGTTATCAGCATACTTATTTCAAGTCCATTAATGTACTGAAGCCAGAAGGCCAGTGAGCTAGCATATTCAGCAGAGGTGAGAAATGATGGGCTACATGTCTCTTTCATGATGGATTTCGTGAAAACAAAAAAATGGCAAGCAGACGCAAAACTATTTGCATAGAGCTGGAAGGTTGAATACCTCCTTCATTGCTTTTGGAGAGAATCCTCTTTATTTCCTGTGTCTGCACTGGAACAGGAAGTGATGGAGCCCCCTCTCCACTGAGGTATAGATAACCTTAAAGTGACATTAAACCCTCAGATTTTTTAACATAAACCAATACTGTAATGTGTGCCTTACTGTAATCCATGGTAGTGTCTCTTCTCTTTGCTGCTCTTCCTTTTAAATCCTCATGTCTTCTCATGCTTGGGGAGAACTTCCCTTTGCAGCTGTGTGCCTTTTCCTGTAGTGCTGGCTCGGTTTGCAAACCTACACACAGACACCATGTATCCATTTCAGAGAAGGCAGTCTGCTGCAAAACTGAAGTTCTGCCCAGCATGAGAAGAGATACAGATTTAAAAGGAAGAGCAGCAAAGAGAAGGGAAACAACCATGGATTACAGTAAGGCGCACATTACAGTATTGTTTTATGTTAAAAAATCTGAGGGTTTAATGTCACTTTAAGCTGGCCATAATAAAAAGGTTGTAACATCCTCATTCTAGCTAATAGAAAACAAATGAGTCTCATAATACTCATCCCATTGTCCCGTATTTGTAAACTGCACATAAAGCCTTGCACAAAATACACAATTTGGTCACAAGTACCTGAGCTTGTTGCACATCCGATCCTGGAACAATCGACATTAATATGGTGAAAGTTTGGAGGCATAATTACAGAGCAGCATGACTTTCTACCAAGCATCAGGGGCAGAAGCAGATGGGACACAAACAATTTGGGTGGAGTTCTACTTGAAGAATGCAACTTAAACTACAAGCCCCCAACGGCATATCTCACATGTGTAGGCCAGACAGTTAGCATTTTAGAAGGAAGTCCACAATGGCAGACCTTATTTATCACATGACACGTTTTCTTGAACTATTTTAGTTAAACATTTAAATGGTGAACTGGTGACAGGATCATGGGTGACCGAGGCACAATAATGCACACGGGGTACAAAGCAGGGCTACCCCTTGCAACTTACAGGGCTTAAAGGATCTGCTACTGACGGCTTGGTGCCAGATACCACAACATACCTAAAGAGGTCTAGTGGATTCCATGTCTCGCAGGGTCAAGGCTGTTTTGGGAGTAAATGGGGGTGTTCTATCGAAAGTTCCAACTCCTCGAGTTCTCCAACCATCTGACTTCCAGTTTAGTTAGAAGTAAAAGGTTTGGCCGAGAAGGCATTACTGCACATGGGCCACCCGCGGCATTTCCCTATACAAATAGTACATAGCAATAAAGTATTAAAATGAACTAGGTTTAAAGTAATACAGCATGTTATTAATCTCAGTTGCCCCACTCAATATGGCTGCTGCTTGCGGCCATATTGAGTGTGGCAACTCAGATTAATAACGTGCTGTATTACTGTAAACCTAGTTCATTTTAATACTTTATTGCTATGTACTATTTGTATAGGGAAATGCCGCGGGTGGCCCATGTGCAGTAATGCCTTCTCGGCCAAACCTTTTACTTCTAACTAAACTGGAAGTCAGATGGTTGGAGAACT